TCTGTTCTAGCACCCAGCGGGACCATTCCATCAAGTGGCAAATGCAGAACTGGAAGAGTTTTTGCCAGGGGTGGAACACCAAAGGAGAATTTTCTTTTGGGAACGTTTTAGGGAAGCTGAAGATGGTCTTCTTCTTCTCGAGCTGTCGTGGACACGGGAAGAAAGAAGCAAGTATGTTGCTGGTTTTGTGGAGACACCTACTGTTGAGGGCTACGTCTGGGGGAATGAGATAACGGGACGTAATTGAAGAGTGGTCTTACAACAGAGATTACCAGCAGGGGAAGACTCTGCAGCCCACTTTCCAGCTGGCCCTTCCAGAGAAAGGGGAGTTGGCCACCCGCATCAGGTTGCAAGCTAGCCAAGGCAGCCAACGTTAATCCTGCCAGCTGGTCCGTCCTGCCAGGTCAGCTCCTGGAAAACATCTGGGAGGAGCAGCAACTGGCTTTGCTTTTCCATAGGCCAGAGGGAAAATGTTGGCCTGATGTTTTCTTTGAGGGGCCTGGATGAGAGGAGAGCTTGGAAAGGAGAAAGCGATAGGGGTGGGTGTAGATCAGATCTTTTCATGCCAAAAGCCATTGTGGTGAAACAGACCGTAGGAGTTCTCCACTGGGCATCTTCAAGGAAAGGTGGCCCATCCACCTGCCTGGGCACCGAGCAACAGGCTGGGTTCTGGGGCCTTCAGGGAGCCTCCCGTCTCTGGTTCGAAGCCTGAACAAAACCTTCCGAAACAGGTCTTGGTTGCAGGAGGGAAGTTTAATGACAATCTCTTTATTCAGTTGGGCAAACCTTGTTTTCCTTTACCATAGTTCAGGGACGAGGAAGGTAAAAAGAGGCAAGGCTTCCATCTCATGGTCGTGGCCACCATCTTGACTTCTTTGACCCCCCCATCCAGAATAAGCCTTTGCTGCTCATATTTGGAGGAAGAGCCCTGTATCCTCACCAGCACTCTTGTCTTCCTGCCGCAGTAAACAGTCGGAGTCCAGCTGGCCTGTTGCTCCGGAGTGTGCCAAGGATGGGGCTTACCACCCGATCTACATCATTCCTGGCCAGGTGGAACCCTGCATTTATGCAACAGAGGTAAAGAACATATGCTCCCTTTGGGGCTTTGGGAGTCTTTCAAGATTGATGTCAGCCTTTCGAGGTAGACTAGAAGGCCCTGCAGAGATTCTGGGAATACACCTTTAATGTTGCAGGGTAGGATAACAGGAACCTGAAAGCCCATCTGAGTGTCTGTCTGTCCCCTCTTATACTAAACAAAATCAAGGCAATCTTAAAGTTGCCACGGTTGAGAAATGCTGATCTAGACATTCCTAACCTGAGATCAGCTTCCAGATTTCTTTCTCCAGGAGAGCTGTCTCTGTCAAGGGGAACAGTGGGACTATTCTGAAGGCACCATCTCATCATTGGATGAGGACATCCTAAGCCTGTTTTAGTGGTAATCTTACTGAGTCGCTGGCACTTGGCTGAGCATAGTACAGGTGGAATTGTAGCGATGTCTTCTGCCAAGACATCTGGTAGTTCTTCATGCACATTTTAACTTTTTGGGGATTTGATCCAATGGTAGAACAAAGTCACACCAGCTTCATTCTATCCCCAAGTGGGGAGAGTCCACCCACCACAAGAAACAATGTTAAGTTTGCTGATTTACATGGCTTTCTTGCCTGCCAGAACAAGTTCTAGAGTAACCTATTCCAGAATGTCCTCCACCCACCGATGAGAGGACATTTTCCACGGTAAGTCCAGTGCTCCTTTCTCCAGCTTGGCTCAGGTGTCCATTGCATGATTCAAAGAGGTTCCTGCTAGGTCTCTCGGAAGCAGACTGAAAATGGAAAATTTTAGTTGGAGGTGGTCTCCAGGAGATAGCCACTAAAGGGCCAGACTACAGGAACCCTCAAATGGTCAGCAAGAGGTAAAAAAAATGTGTCCAGCTGACCTCAGGAGCACAGTAGAAAAGTGAGCTTAGTAATGTATGGCTGTGAGAGCTGGACCATAAAGAAGGCTGAGCGCCGAAGAATTGATG